TCTTACGAGGACTTTTTTTAAAAAGTGTAAACATTTATAAAAACAGGCAAATAAATATTTGTACTCATTATCGTATATTCATATCGCAACATAATTTTGAAAAAATACGAATTAAATACTAGCCTTGGAGAGGCACAAATTCGCGAATGAATTTTCAAGTACTTTTTTTGCAAATTTTGTTGTTTATTAACTATGCGAATTCGTAATGAATACTCACATGAACGCCATTTACCCCGAGGTACTAAACTCCTCGAGATAGTCAAACATTTAAACACATTACAAAGTTTACGCTGAAAAATCAGGTTACAAATCTATTTTGCATAACTCAAACGGTGTTGCTATATTTTTAAGTAGTACTGTATTAACTAATCTTTCTAAAGGTAGAAGTTTGACTGGGTCACAAACGTCGCCTGGCCTCAAGAGTGCATGGAATAATGAGGTCAATTTCATTTCATCATTTGTTTCCTGCTTTCACTTGCAAAGTCCTAAATCGCATTAGAATTATCTTAACTCTTCCGTGTTTTTGGGTAAAGAGACAAAACCTGGGAAGCTATTAGTGTCCCCGGCTAAGGAGGAGAAAGTACGTGCTGAGCAATGATATAAATCTTTCTGGGTCGGTTGTAGAGGAACACAAAACGAAATAAAACGACCTCCTCATCCAATTGTGTACAGGAGAACAGTGGCCGCGGAAGCATGGGGACAGAAGGACAATGTCCCTAAACTCTTAGAAATTTAGTTATACGATCATAACCAAAATGTAAACCAATATGACTCCACCGCCGTGGTTATGAATTTATCACCAACCGGTTATAAATTTATTAAACTCTGGTGACAATTTAATACCAAGTCGCTGACAATTGTAACCACTCGATAACAAATTTATAACCGCGGTGGTAGAGTCACATACGTTTACTTTTTGGTTAAAATCGTAACCGCATTTCTAAGAGTGTATGCTTATTCGATGTCCCCATCATCTTCCCATGTTGTATAAACCCCTCCCTTCCCTATCCCATGATGCGAATGTCCCCACGGTTCCCGCGGCCACTGATGGAGAAAGAGAAAGTCGACGAGCAGACAATAAATAAGAGAAAGTTGTCCAATTGTATAATTTTTATCTGCCCCGCAACGACCGGATGCTCACACCATAACTTCCGCTCTTTTATCATCCATTCTTATTTTTATTTGGTTGGGTTGTGTAGTGTTTTAAGGAAAAGTTATTAACGCGGAAAACATCTCGGTGTGAAAGAAAATGGTGGAAGAAATTGGCCCAGAAAAAAAGTAGTTATGTGGAAGAGAAAGGTGCAAAATTAGGATTTTTTTGGGACAATTATGTTGAAATTAATCATTAATCATTAATCAGATTTTTGAATTAAGTAATTTTAATTTTGATTAATTGCTAAATTTGGGGGTTTTCTTCGAATTACGAACCGAAATTGTCTCATTTTTCTAAATGTCGCTATATATCCTTGCTATGTACATACGTTAAGATTGCAAAAGTTGACGTGAATGCGCCTAGCTCCACATTTCGCTTTCCAATTTCATACATTCAAATGCAAAAGTCTCATGTTCCTCAAAACCACACGTAAGTGTGGTTTTGAGACCTTTTAAACTTCACGTTTAAAAGGTCACGTTTCATGTTCACTTATTTAAATCTGCATAGGGCTGGCTCCAAAAATATGTTCCTGCTTGTCAAAACGATACCAGAATTTACTCAGGGAGGAAATTGAACCAGAAATCAAAATCATTTTGTTTATCGAAGCGGCGTATTTGCAGATTTCAGGGTAAATATATGCACATATCGTCGCTAACATGTTTATCGATTCTCCCTACATATAATCTATCGTCGTCCTGAATTTGTCACCCAATCCGTGTCTTGGGCTGTCATGAGCTAAATCTACTTTACTTAAAATAGGCGAATCTAGCAATGCTAGGTCGGTGGCACTATCGTTTAAATTCTCTGCTTGGGGCATACGCATAGATTTGTAAATATATAACAGTAAAGGTAAGGAGAGCAGTCTCAAAATATAAACGGTGTGAAAATTATGATGGTTATACAGTGAGATTTCACCATATCTACCCTGCATTACCAATATCATTCAACAAAATATAATGTTATGAGTTTTAATTTCCGAATTAGGAGCAATTAATGAAAATATTTTGAAAGAGCATCAAAACCTTTATTGCGTGCGCAGAACTGCGGAGTGTTATGAATGATTATATGATTAGTGTTATAGAGTGACATCCAAAAACTGTCTATATATAGACATGCGATACATTTTCTAATAATCAGCAAGATTTATATTATATTTGCCAAAATTTTCATGATAATTTTGTAGTTGTAACGTACTAATGTAATGTATGTATGTATATATACAAACATACATTTTAGTAATGCGTATACATTTCCCATAATGAGACATGCATTCATGCCGTATCCTTTACGTTGAGGTCAAACGTCGGGCGTTTATACTAGTATTTGTATTTTTCATCTAACTCATCCTGGTCCTTTTTGCTAAAAAATTTGATACTTTTTTTGCCCAGGCAACAGCCAGCAACGTATGTATGCACATAGTCTATTCATAAGTCCCCGCACAAACATTTCTGGTGATAAATCTCAAACCCTTGGAGATATTTCTTAGAAATTTTTGTGTATGAACAAGGCGTTAATATTGTTTAGAAATCATAACTTCGTTTTAAAGATTTCGTCCACGGGCCTACATGCAAGACATAACTCGTGACGGGCATTGCTCGATCGCGGCACGCGCCGTTTTCATGAGAAAAGTGTTCCACATTTTTCCCTGTTTGAGAAAAATTTAAAATTAAAAAATGGCCAGATATTGGCTCAACAGGCGTCTGACATTCATTTAAGTATGCGGAAGTTAATAAGAAGTCATCACGATGGTGTGAATGTGAGCGAGTTTGCTGAAGAACGCAAATCTCTGTTTTTTAGGAGTAAAGGTTCGAGTCAATAATTATTTTCATAGTGTTTTAGAGCCAAAAGTTAATAACCAGAACCCTGAGTCCTCCGAAAATCAACATGGGACCTTTCAACAAGACTCTGCTCCTGCGCAAAGTGCAAAATAGTCCAAAACTGGCTTCAGACAATTTTGTTTGACTTTTTTTCATCCGTGGAACGGTGCTCAACATCTGCAGACCTTAATCCCCTAAATTATGACTGCTGGTGAAAATTATAGACACAACTATGCTCTAAATCTCACCCAAGTGTGGAACGCCTGAGGTCACACTTACTGAAGATCTGGGCACTTTTCCCACGAAATCCGTGCGTGCTGCGATCGAGTAGTTTCCGCCACGACTTACGTCTTCTGTATAAGCCCGTGGACGAAATCTTGAGAAAGAAGTTATGATTTCTAAGCAATATTAATATCTTCTTCGGCCATAAAAATTTCTAACACATAGCTCTAATACTTTGGGATTTATCACCAGAAATGTTTGTGCGGGGACTTATGAATACACTATGTATAGTGGAATTATTTGTGTTAGTCATCTCATTTGCATATTTTGACGCATTCGCATAAAATTTCTTCAACATGGAAAGTCCGTATCACCGAAAATGGACCTAGTGAGATTTATGCAAATGAAGTGACACGCCTAAGAGGATAGTAAATACTTAGGATTAACGTTGCAAGAAAATATGCCCAGAAGGAATTTTTAGTCTTGTTGCTAATTTTGTATACAAAATCTTTCAAACGCAGCTACTCTCCGCTAAAACGATTAATTTCATATTAACAAAGCGAATCGTAGAACGTTGTGCAAACGCAGGTTCAGAATCACTGAATTTATATAGGAGTGAGTAAGGACATACATTTACTCCATAATTCCTGGAAAAGGATAATCTCCGTGTTGCTTTGGAACATGGGTTGAATTAATTGACTAACAAACAATACAAAACGCTCTTACGTGAGACTACTGATTTGATTTTACTAAAGATACAAACCACACGATTCCTTTAATATAATTTATTTTATGAAATGCCCGTAATAATTTTGATCTGGCCTTTGAATATTCAATTTTGAAGGTTAAACCTCACAAATTTAATAAGTATTTTGAGAACCAACGAAATAGAATCCTCTATTTGGTCACTTTAGACATGCGATTTCTACATGAGATTTGTACTGGACGGATATTATGTTTTTATGATGGATATTATGGTTATTATGATGGATATTATTCTCCGTGGGCAGTGCCCACGGAGAATAATTTGGACCGAGGGGACATATTGTAGAAGCCAATTTTTCAAATCCTGGTTTTGTTTGCAAAAAAATCCACGATTTAAAACAAATTTAGCGTATGAAACACTAATCTGAACGTTAAAAAATGCAAGATTATTATGAAAATTTTGGAAAATCAAAATGTAGCTAATTGTTAAATGAATCCCACCAATTACAAATTTAATTAATTGGAAATTGGATTGGAAAGGCAATACTACAAAATTGTAATTGCCATATAATTTTTAACAGAGTTGGTCGATGTTTTTGTCCGTCAGTCTCACCTTGGGGACAAATTTATTGGATGTCCCACTGCCAACTTTCGATTAGGACATTGTCCCCACGCTTCCGCGGCCACCGGTCCTGCCATCCGACTTTGCCTCACCTAACAAAAAGTCAGTTCGATTAATTAAGCAATGAGCCGCGTCCAATTATGTTCGCTCTTATTGTATAATTCTGTAACGCAAGAGAATAAATCTTGTGGTATTGTCATACATAGTAAACATTATTCATACGTTTATACATTTATAACGTATTACTTATACGTAAAAAGTAATGGTAATACGTTATATAAGTAAGTACGTGCACGTATGCCTCAACTCTTTATTGGCTCATTTACCTGGACCCAAATTCAATTTCTTTGTCAAGGGTGAAGTTGTTAACGTAAGACTCGACATCACCAAAATCAGCACATTTTTAATCATTGCACACCTCCTGGAATTCATTTTAAAATTCTGGATGACAAATTTGTAGTCGGTAAGTTGACTAGTATTTTGAGCCTTTTTAAGCCAGTTTCAGTGAATTCGAATTTTTCTGAAAGTTTCTTAAATGAAAGATCTTCAAAATCTGGAGTATAAATTTTTGAAGAGTTGGGAACACCCTGCACTGTAAACATATTTACCTGTTCAAAAAAAACTTTTTCATTCAAAAGTAACTCATCTGAAATGACTGAATCTTTCACTCATTTTCATTAAAATCACACAAAATTCATTTTCATTCTCTATCATAATCAGTCACATGAATGAAAGTGAACAGGTATGATTCGTCGTCCAGAATTTAAAATAAAATAAATTCCCAGAGCCGAAAAATGATATGCTGATTCTGACAATGAATCATCGATTTCACCGTTAACATAGTTCATCCGGAAATGAAATATTCAGTCGCACGTGCACGTGAATAAAGTTAAAACTTTAAGTTACTTGAACTATCTGAGTCGTTAATCTTCACGACCTTGTCGGCAATACATAATGGAAGACGTAAAAAATTGGCTACTTCGCCTCCCGTATTTAACGAGGCACTGGTTTATCGCAGCTATCGTGTTACCCTTACTGGTGAGATTCGGCGTAGTTGGGGGCGATCGAGTTATTTTATCGTTGGACCGCATTGTTTATGGATTCCAGGCAAGTTTTTCATTATTAATTACGAACGGGATGATAAGCTAATTTAATTAACTGATTATTAGATATTTAGAAATTAAAAGTATAACTTTTATGTTGCAAAAAGTTAATACACTGTTAGAAATCTGGTATAGTCAGGCAGATATTCATTTATGGTATTATCTGTAAAGTTGCTACCATTTGGTGTTAAAATTATGTAGGTACGTAAAAATTTACTACCGATATGACAAAACTTTAATACCGATCTATTACTAACGTTATTACCTATCAAGACCACTTTTGACTTTATTTAAGATAAAATGCCAATACGTACATAGGTGCACACCAAGAAATCAGGCAACAACGCCATTACTTGGTGACTATATAACCATAATTAGTTACCGCGCTGGTAATAAGTACAACCAGGAGGTAAAAATTATTACCGTAGTTGTAATAAATTTAGTGTTATTCGGAAACAAATTCATTACCCTGGCGGTAATGTTGTGGTACTGAAAAATTTCCCACTCAGAAACAAACTGCTCCGGTAGGAAGTTACTACCCTATCAATAACAGTTTACTTATATAATGTATACGTAGGAAGTAATCGGAAATTATGGTTTCAACTAATAATTTCTTTAATGTTTTCAATTTTAAAAAATCTTTCTAGTTATGGAGACCGGTGACAGCTGCAATCTATTTTCCGGTAGGTTTCCTCTGGCTGATGAAGCTCTATCTGTTGGTTTCTTACTCCAGAAAATTGGAAGAAGGTAATGCAAAAAGGTAAAAAAAATAAGGTCAACTACAAAAACTTTGCATTCTTCGTTTTTGCAGAACACTATGCCACGAAACAAGGAACATACGCGTTTCTCTTGGTGGTAAATTGGTTCGTATGTTTCAATCTTGGACTTGCACTTGATTATCCAGTAAGAATGTACATAATTACACAAATACAATGAAGCAATTCACGTCAACCTTCGTAACTACGTAAACTTTCGATACTTACGAACCTTTGACGAACGCCTCAAAAGCAATTTTTTCTTACGAACTTACAAAATCTTACGATGATGAAAGGCATTTTTTTCGTTCGTAATCTGATCTTCGTAAATTTACGGGGGTTACGGAATTATGAAGGTTAACGTGAATTTCCTTAATATAATTTGTGATTGAAGAAGATATTAATGTCAATATCATAACTTTCAATGTCGTCTTTATAGATTCTGCTGGGCCCAATGATCAATTCCGTGGTTTACATTTGGTGTCAATTAAACCCAAATGTGATTATCCGGTTTTGGTTTGGGACCGAGTTCAAGGCTAAAATTTTTCCCCTTGTCCTCGCCATTATGGATCTTATCCTTTACAACGAGTAAGGAAATTTAAAACGGATTATCTATTCATTAAAGGGGACTTCTTAAATTACGTAACGCTAAAATGCAGTTTTTGAACCCTGCCCTCCCTATGCAATGCCCGCATAATGCTTACCCAAACCCCTCTACTACGCCGTAATGTGACGATTTTTTAAAATTTGAATCCCATACATTTTTATTTTAAATGCTGGAATACATTTTAAAGTAGTAAATAGATCTGGAGCAGTAGAATAAATTAAGATTGCCAAAAAACACAAATAGATCGTTTGAAACCCCTTTTTTTGTGAAAATCACATTTTGAAGCGACCAAAAAAAAGTTATCCTTGTCGCAAACCCGCATTGGTAACGGTTCGTAACGGAATTTTCAAACCCCCTCCTTTCCCTTAAAGCGCTACGTAATTTAAGAACGTCCCCTAAATAGTTGGTACATATTTTGTCCGTTTGGTTTGATAGTTGGATAGCCCAAGCCATTGGAATTCTTGCTGGTCACGCGTACTATTTCTCCACCACGGAATGGGCCCGGCTTCATGGGAGACCACTGTTTGAAACGCCACGGTTTTTGTAATAATACTAATTCTACTTTTGTATTAGTGAGACAATTCACGTCAACCTTCGTAAGCCCAGAACCACGTAGATTTTGAACATCTCAAAGGCAATTTTTGCTTACGAACTTACGAAACCTTACGAAGATAAAAGGCAGGTTTGTTGGTTGATACATAAGCTGATCTTCATAAGTTCACTTTACGTTACGGAGTTACGAAGTTTGACGTGAAATGCCTCATTATTTATTATATCAATGAAGTCATTCACATTTAACCGTGTTCAATTTAGCCAATCCCTTTTCCGCAATCCAAGGATGGCCCAAATGTCTGAAGGGATTTATGTCGAAGACTATCGAGACACTGGACCCACAAGGCTGACCCCGTCTACGTACAGCTTTCCTGGTACGGGGCGTGTTCTCAGTGATACTGCTCAGTGAGCTAAAATTTTTGCACTCAGAATATCCTGTAACCTAATTTCTCTATTTTAATTAAAATTTGTCTTAAAGAATTTTTCAAAGTAAAGAATATTTCCGAAACTGAAATTTTAAAATAGAACAAGAAGTAGAATCTGAAATTATTTAAGTTAAACGTGAATAAGTAGGGAGTTTGCATGTATACTTCCGTAAATAATTTCCGTGACGTAGCAACGTGATTCCGTAGCTTTTCACGGAAATTTTTCACGTCTTCACGTTGCGGAGGGCGACAGTTTGCATAAAAACACGCAACGTGACCCGTAGTAAGACATCCGTAATTTTTCACGTATTTACGATGTTTTCTCTGTCGCTACGTTTAAAAATCAACGTGAAAAACTAATTTTCACGGACGTTCTACGGACTCAACCATTTCTAAAAAATTGGTTCAAATAATAGCGTAAATACATATACAAAATAATTCCTTAACCTTAAACAAATATTTTAACAGCTTTCTTTCGAATGTTTTAATATGTTAGGAGCAATACTATCACAATTAAGAATAATAATTTGACTTTATCTCCTCACTATTTGCATAATTAGTTATTTATTGCTTGAATTTACTTACAATGAGGAGGTGTTACGTGTTTATTTCCGATTTTGACAGGAGTAATTTTAAATTGTCACGCTCAGAAATATGCCGACCCATATTTATGCGTTTTTTTAGAATGCGCATGTTTTCGCCCGTAGCGGAATTTAAAAAAATTGGCGAAAATAAGAATTTGTCAAAACGCTGTCACTTTCGAATTTTAACCCGATTTCAAAAATTATACACAGTTTGTGCTCAGAATTAGTCTGAAATTATAAAAAACCTATTTAAAAAACTTATAATTTTCAAAAAATTAACGGTTTTGCGTTTTAAAAAAAACTTAGAAATAGCATGAAAATATTTAAAATTTTATAAAATGAATTTTTATAGTACTTCTTATCAAAAATTATGTTTGTTCAAATTCGAAAAGTGGCAGCGTTTTGAAAAATTCTGATTTTTTCAAATTCTGTAACTGGCGTAAACATTCGCATTTTGGAAAACCCCTGGATAAATTGGCGATAACCACCTCACACCTCCTCAGTGTTAGATTGACTAACAATGGAGGTCTCCTAACGCACCTATTCTTACAGATTTCTAACAAAGTATCAATCGATCAAAAATTTAACTAGTATGAAATTTGCAATATTTGCATCCGAAACGGACAAAACGGAGAGTAAAATCGGTGCATTTTGCAGATGAATTTATTAATATTAATTAAGATAAACTAATCCAAGGACTTTGGTTAACGATTTTATAATTGGCATTAATTAGTAATTAGAAAGATGTGGAAGAAGGACTGAAATTGTTGAAATTAATTAGTTAACTAATTTTCTAAATGCAACTCGGATTTGGTGAAATACAATCTTTAAAAAAAGCTTAAAAATGAAAAGTGTGGGGTGCAAAGTGTCTGGTGCAACCGCCCCCAGGTTGCTTATCTCCGTCAAGTTAATGCTGGGAAGGGTTTTGAAATTTAAACAGAAACTTTTGTTGATAATTCTAAAATAATTCACAACTAAAAATTGTAAAGTAAAAATTGGAAGAATAGAAAACATAATTACGTATTTATTTATTTGTGGAATTGCAAACTATAATTCCGTAACCGTGCAACGTAGAAAAAAGATGCATTTTTACGTTACGGTTTACGACACGGACGTCAATTTGCAAACTGTCACAACGCAACGTCGACGTAGTTTCAAAATCTACGGTTCTACGTCACGTTCAGGGTCCACGGAAACATTCATGCAGACTCCCTAGTATTTTAATATAAAATATGGCTTTAAAATCTGACAAGCAAGAAATGTTTTCATAAAAATGAAAGATCTTATTTAACAATTTATGCATATTGGCATCAAATATTGTCACTAATAAAGCAGTTTTTTATCATATTTCCAAATTGATAAATTCCCATAGATTTTGATAATTTAGGCTAATTTCCTAATTTGCAACGCACAGTTTGTCCCTAAAAATTAGTAACCATATTTCGAAATTCGAATTTGTTCTAGAGTTATCGTGGATACGGATGGACGGACAGACAAGACATTTCTATATAAAGCGATTCTTCCCTTCGTTTACCCCTTATATAATAATCATAACAACACCGTTGCACTTTGTTCATTTCTCTCCCAATGTATTTGCATACAACTTTTTATGCAATCAGTAGTCGACTTGGTACTGGATTTTCATTGCCAGACAGATAACCAGTTTTGTTAGGCTGGTCCGTGTTATCAGATCACGTCTGGATTTTCATGGCCAAACAGCAGCCAGTTCTGTTGGAATGGTCAGTGTCATCAGTCTACAATTCCGCATGCGAGTCGTCTACATACATATATTGCAAACAGAATATCATAAACATTATCTTTGAATACATCAATTTCTGTAGAAAATCCTGCTTACAGAAGTAAAATTAGTGTAAAAATGTTACCGATAAAAGAGCTCAATAGGTAAACGTGGTTCAAAATTGACTAGTCTTCAAAGCAGAACTGCATTTTGTTTTGTACAAATAAAAATTACTTAATTACACAGGTTCAGTATTTTGCTGGGAGTGAGACCATTTTCGATTTCTTTAGCCAAATTTGCCGATTTAGAGGTGCAAGTTGAGAACGGAGTTAAGACTCTCACCATTAACAGACCAGCTAAGAAGAACGCCATAAGTACACAGGTAATTTATCATGTTACATGAAAAATGCTGACGTTAAGAGGAAAAGAGGTTAAAGAGGAATTTGGTTGGACCAAATTCGTCATATGACGTATGCCAAAATATGAGCTCAAATACGTCATATCACGTATTTTGAAAAAATGCAGATTTCTCAAAATTTTCCAAAATGTTAGCATTTTTTATTAGTATTTTGTGGAAAACTCGACGATAAAAAGTTGACTTGTGGATATTTTTCTTCACAAATTTTGGAATTTTCCCTATACCGACCAATGTTAAAAAGTGTATTTTTCGTTATTTTAGTTAAAAAAAACTCAAAACGTAGAAACTGACTGACATAAAAATATTAGTTTTTCACAGGAAATCATGGAAATTTAATCGTTGTTAACAATGCGATGACGCCAGCCGTCTCGCTCCTATTTTCACGAAACCACGATAATTGTGTAGCCGTATGTAAATAATTAACACGTGTTTCAGGATATTTCATAATGCTCAGTCGAAACGAAAATATTACGGAATCCGTGAGCGATAATTTCTTTTTCTCCCTCGCGAGAAAAATTATACGGTAAAAATTCAAATTTTCGATCACGGATTCCTTAATAATTTTGTTTAAACTGAGCATTATGAATAATCCTGAAACACGTGTTTAATTATTTACCTAAGGGTACACAATTATTGCTGTCTCGTCAAAATCGGAGCGAGACCGCTGGCGTTATCGCATTGTAAGTTATGAATTCAATATCGTTCTCAAGAATTTTTTTAGAATTGCGGTTACGTAAGTATCTAATTAGCCATGCTTTCCCTCTTCTCCCCAGATGTTCCAAGAAATGACGAAATCTCTTTACGATAGTAATGACGATAAGACCACAAAAATTATCGTGATCCGTGGAACAGGCAACTTTTTCACTGCTGGAAATGACCTTTCCTCTCTTTTCGAAGATTGTCAGAAAAAAACGACCGTGAATGAATTGGAAGTCTCAATATTCACTAAAAGCCTAATCGATTGCCGAAAACCTATTGTTGCTCTCGTTAATGGTCACGCAGTCGGAATTGGCGTCACAATGTTGCCTCATACGGACACGGTGTTCGCGTCAGATAAGGCAATCCGTGCATAAGATAAGCAGTGGCCGCGGAAACGTGTGGGGACGGAGGGACAATGTCTCCATAATGCATACCTGTTCACTTTCATTCATTTGATTGATTATGAAAGTGAATGAAAATGAATTTCCTGCCATTTGAATGAAATTGACTGAAGGATTCTGTCTTGCTGGATGTATGAGCGTGAATGATAGGATTGTTCTCACCTTTCGTTTTTCACTCCTTTCGGGACGAAATAAGAAATGAAGTCCGATGAAGTGAAGTGAAATGAAATGAATTTGACGGAAAATGACTGAATGTGAATAAAATATTCAGTCAGAAATCGGTATGTCTGATTTTTGAATCAAACCCAATTTTTTGAACAGGTATGGTCCCCTAAGTTGTTCGATGTCCCCATCATCTGTCCATGTTATACATACCCCGGCCTCCCCAATCTTACAATGTTAATGTCCCCACAGCTTCCGCGTCCACTGAAAATAAGCTGGCATAATGTCTTCTTTAGTTAAATGATTTTTACCAATTTGCAGGCCACTTTTACCACACCCTTTATAAAATTTGGAATTCCTCCTACTGAATGTTGCGCAGGCTACCTTCTACCAAAAGTTATGGGTCAAGCGAAGGTAAAAGTAGTGCATAAATTTGCAATTTAATCAATTTAAACCTCTAATTTATCAAAAGTATAAACCAGGCCGGCGAAATGCTCCACTTCAACGCAACTCTAACTGCGGCAGAGGCTTACACGAGTAATTTGATTACGAGAGTTTTTCCTGACGCCGAGTTTGATAAGAAGGCGTGGGAGAAAATTTACCAAATGGCCGAACATCCATTAACTGTAAGATAATTTTTAATGAGTTCTTAAACTGTTTATTACCATATTTATTTTTTGTCCATGTTATTAGTTTGGAACAGAACTCTTGAGAACAACATTTAGTGCTGCACTTTCGTAGATGTGAAAAATTCAGCATTTTTTGGGCGCCCAAATTCGCAAAAGCGCTCAGTTTTCTAGTAGAATCTTTGCCTTGCTGCAGCAGTTACGCGTTTTTGCCAACATGCGGAGCCCAGAACTTGCTGAATTTTTCGAATCTACGCAAGTTCCGCACTAAACATTGTTTTTAAAGAGGTGCTCTTTCAAACTAACATGGTCAAAAAATTACTCGGCTTGAACATGGTTTGCTTCCCCATTATAAATATTTCTTTTTTTAATTTATAGTCACTGGTTTCTTCGAAAGAATTCCTTCGAGGAAGGGAGCGACAAGTTTTGCATAAAATTCATGACGACGAAGGAGCAATTGTAAATATTAACATTTTGGCGAAAGCAGTAATGAAATTGATGTCCCAGCAGAAGTGAATTGATTGAAATTTAATTGCTGGAATTGTACAAAACTTATTATGACTGAGAATTCATTTATAACTCATTTAAGCTGATTAAGAAATAAACAAAGTGCGCTATTTTTACACATTGATTTACAATTTGTTTGCAAAAATTCGTAAGATTCTAATTTTCTTTAGAAATTTGTGTCAAGTTTTATAAATCTTTACTGATTTTACGAAGTTATAAAGGACTGGATAATACATTTGTAGCCTGATTTTCCTCCAATCGTAATCTTTCCATTTTTTAGGAATTTATGGAGTTTTCCATGTTTTTTTTTAGGAATTGATGGAGTTTTCCATGCTCCAAATATTTAAAACAATTTCGGTATTTCGTATTTAGTAACGTTACACAAAGGGAAATATTTACTGCATAATTAAAAAAAATGTAATATGTTAACGCCGAAAAGTATATATTTTGAGAGTTAAAGTTGCCTTTCAGAATATAAGATTGCATCCCACTGTGGTATATATGTTCCCATATTTTTCAAATGATTTGGAATAGATTTTTAGATGTTAAATTTGGTAAAACAAAAATTTTACAAATTTTGCAATAGGTTTCCAATTGATTTCTGGATGTTGCATTTGTAAAAAAACAAACAAACAAGCAATATTAATTTGTTGCAAATATGGGAAAGATTTTATTTTGTTTCTTAAAATGTTTTGTGAAGCGTGATTTTGCAACGTCGAAAACATATATTCCCTGATATTCGTAAAGGCTTGTGCACAATCTCAGATATTGATTCGTTCTGTTCGAAACTTTTACGAATTAGAATTGCATAATTACAAATTTTTATTTTTGAGAGAGATGGCCAGTGATTCTTGATTCAGAATGAATCTTGAATGGGTTCGGCAGTTTCGGCAAAAAGATGGTGCAATTTTTGGGTTCGACGATTTTTTAAGTGCATGCTACAAGTAGTGGTCTCAACGGTTCTCGGTTCTGACAGAACCTAACCGGAACCGAACCGAACTTTTATTACCGGTTCAGTTCGGTTCCGGTTCTAGAACCGGACCGAACCGGGCGGACCGAACTTTTTAACTCAGTTTGTGGACTTGTTTATAAACTTGTCAGCAAAAATAGGTCAGGTAGAATTGTTTTTAATGCAGCTATTCCATCTTATCATAACACTACTGGTTGGGCCGCAACAGCCGGTTCGGTTCCGGGTAGGTTCTCCATTCCTTACCGGTTCGGTTCCAAAAACCGGACCGTTGAGACCACTAGCTACAAGTGACAAGGGTTTTTACATATCTTTATATTTGTAATCAACTACCAACAAAAAACTAACTTTGACCAAAATGGTGTGTAAGTCAGACTTTTGTAGAGCAATAAACTTTGTTATTTTTGTAAATTTATGGGTACTTAAATTTTTGTAAATACAAATTCCAAAAATCTGGATAAATTTGTTATCGTTAATTTTTATGAAATTGATAGAGTTGGCCGTTGTGGGTTATTTGGCAACAGTTCTTTTTACCAAATTTATAAATTGAAGGTTTGTAATTTAATTTGCTTTAGTTGAATTTTGACTAATAAATTTGATTTAGCTTCGACTCTAATTGTGAACAAAAATATCTCATGATTTTTCAAAATAGAGCAGAATAAAAAAATTAACCACTCAATTTACACACTTAGATTGCCGTGAGTAAGCCAAATGTCTCATTTTACCTCACGGTTTTCAATTTCATGCTTAACCGAGCAAAAGTTATGTACGAATTGGGCTCCCTCAAGACCAAACTTTCACCCAGGTCACCGTTTTATGTTCAATTATTTGAATCTGCATAGAATTTGATGTTTCGATTATTAAAAAAATATGTTGCTGGTTGTCAAAACGATACGAGAATTTACTCGAGGAGGAAATCGAACCAGATATCGCCGTCATTTTTTATGCAAGGCTCGTATTTGTAGATCTCAAGGTAAAACATACATATCGTTGCTAACATGTTTTATCTTCATGTTCGTAGTGTGATTTTGTCACCTGATCTGTCATGTCAGGGGCAGAGGTGAAGTCAAATTCATTTTTTTTACCTCTAAAATCGTGCAAAAGACATTGTTTAATACGAAGAGAAAGCAACAAGAGAAAAAAATGTATGGGATTTTTTTTTAATTTTGAATAAAATTGAATTCCTGTAAACAAAGAATATTTTTAAAATTGAGATTAGATTATGATTTGACCAAAACCTACAAATTTACAAGTTAGCCATCATTAAAATCATTGCTAATTCGGAACTTGTCGATTTTGTCAATTCAAAATTTTTAATAACATTTCTCTAACTTATATAACGCAAAAACTTTGAAAGTGTAGTCTCCTATAAAAATCTATATTATAATTTCGAAAAGTCCGTCCCGTGAAATTTTCCGTGACATTCCTGCATTCTGATTGGTTGCCGGCTTCCTGGCTCCACCAATCACAGCACAGATAAGATTTCTGATTTCGGTTATGATTTCGGTTATGGTTACGGTTATGATTTCGGTTATGATTTAGGTTATGATTTTGGTTATGATTTCGGTTATGATTTAGGTTATGATTTAGGTTATGATTTTGGTTATGATTCCGGTTATGATTTAGGTTATGATTTCGGTTATGATTACGGTTATGATTTAGGTTATGATTTAGGTTATGATTTCGGTTATGATTTCGGTTATGATTTCGGTTATGATTTCGGTTATGGTTACGGTTATGATTTCGGTTATGATTTCGGTTATGATTTCGGTTATGATTTCTGTTATGATTTCGGTTATGATTTCGGTTATGATTTTGGTTATGATTCCGGTTATGATTTAGGTTATGATTTCGGTTATGATTTCGGTTATGATTTTGGTTATGATTACGGTTATGATTTAGGTTATGATTTAGGTTATGATTTAGGTTATGATTTCGGTTATGATTTCGGTTATGATTTCGGTTATGGTTACGGTTATGATTTCGGTTATGATTTCGGTTATGATTTCGGTTATGGTTACGGTTATGATTTCGGTTATGATTTCTGTTATGATTTCGGTTATGATTTTGGTTATGATTCCGGTTATGATTTAGGTTATGATTTCGGTTATGATTTCGGTTATGATTTCGGTTATGATTTCGGTTATGGTTACGGTTATGATTTCGGTTATGATTTTGGTTATGATTCCGGTTATGATTTAGGTTATGATTTCGGTTATGATTTCGGTTATCATTTTGGTTATCATTTCGGTTATGATTACGGTTATGATTTCGGTTATGATTTCTGTTTTGATTTCTTTCATTAACAGAAATTGTTATGATTTCTGTGAATACCACTACAGTAACCGATTATTGCGATTATAATCATTATCGATTATAATCACCCAAAAATTCTCCCTGGGAAAAAATAAACCAATGTGATTATAATCGTCAAAAAAATAATCCTCTCCGAGGACGATTATTTGGATTATAATCCTTGATCCAAATGCAATTTTTTAAAGCGTCCGGAAAAAGTAGCCGTTGCTATGATACTATTTAATGAATCCTGCTGGATATTTTAGGCAACATAATCAAAATACAACAATAATCTGGTGCGTTCATGGTATATGATTATAATCGATTGTGATTATAATTGTCCTCACGATTATAATCGGTTACTGTGAATACCACTACTGTGAATACCACTATTGTATTTAATATGAAGTAAGTTTTTCAGCAATAAATATTTCGTGTTATATTAATTTCATATTCATTGACCTTACAACAAGTCAACATTTTTAGCATACTCGATATTACGCCAAATGTGACATGATGCGTCCACCACACGACTTTCACTTTCACTCCTTCCGGATTTTATTTTCTCCCTTTCAGCGGCCGCTGAATCGAGAGTGTGACCTACCCGCTAGCGGGTAGGTCACACTCTCGATTCCATTCCTCCCCAATCTGGGGCTCAATTTCACAGAAATCCGAGATTTTCCGTCAAGTGATGTGACCGAGAGTGATTTCATTTCAACAATTTTTACAATAAATTGTGTTCTGTGGGAGAGAAAGGTCAACATTTTACCGAGATGTGATACATACTTGTAAAGAAATCGAAACCAAATGCTTACATTCCTCAGTTACTTATTTCGTATTCTGGTCAAGTATCTTGGAGAAATGAGGTATTGTTGCCAGGAGGAAATTTGAGACTCCTGTTAGAAATTCTGGTCAATCATCTTCTAAAAATTCAGAGATTTGGCTTCTGATAAGAAAATGTAATTGTATACATAGAGATTAAGTTGGTTAAAAATTAGGTTTGAGACTATAGAATCTGAAGTAGTGAGATATAGATTAATTAATCTTAACAAATTCGTCCAGCAATAACTAACCTATTGTACGTCCATAATTATAACGAGAATCTGTCAATTAGCTATTGTGACGTTAAACTGCCACAATTTTCCTGTGGCCGTTCACGCAGCCACTGGTAAATTGAGAAATTTTGTAGAATAATTTTATATCAAACTTGTACATATATAATATAAAGACGCCCTTGATCTGAGGATGGGTAAATTTACATCTTACAAAAATTTCCAAGCTACTTTTCCAAATATTTACATAAGTATTTGTAAAATTTGTGAAATAATTTTAAAAATTGCTTCGTTTTCAGAGTAAATTGTATAGACTCATTACAAAACTTGTCGTATTTAGTCAGAATTGTTGTTGAATTGTGATGATTATTCATGAATCATGATGGTTGAATTTCAATTTAAAAAGATAATTTGACTTCACAATGTTTGAAATTTGCTACACTTGTTTTTCCATCTGGTCGACTCGAAATGCTTTTCAACCAATAATTTTTACACTTCTGGCAGCCTAGTTTATCAAGTTTTACAAAAAATTCAGTTTTTCGAAATACTTTGGCCTTTCTTGTCAAGAAATCGTGCTAAAATTTGTTATTTCACTTTCGAAAGATAGAAATCTCATTTTATAAAAGAGCCTCGTGTTAATTTTAAATGCAGAAAAGTCAGTTTATTTTGCACCTTTAAAAATCTGGTAGAGTCAGATAT